GAGGTTATGGCTCTACCCTGTCACCCACAGAGCAGGGCCTGTGGGGGGGGGGTTGGGGCGCCGCACCCTGTCACACACAGAGCCGCAGGGCGATCAGGGGGTTTGGGCTCTGCCCCCTGTCACGCTGATCCAGTGCCAGGAGGCCTCGCGGCTCCGCTGATCCCAGTGCTGGGAGGCATATTACCCTTTTACTATATAGGATAGAGGCCTGGGGGCCGGCTGGTTTGCCCTGAAGGGTGTCCTGGATCAGGGTGGGGGTCCCCACTGGGGTGCCTGGCCAGTCTGGGTGAGGGGCTGAGGGCTGCTTTCAGGCTGGCAATTGACTGAAGCTCCCAACCGCTCCTTGTTTTCTTTTTTTTATTCTGGGCCAGCTTTAGCTCTGGCTCTAGCTCTGAGGCTTCCGCTGCTATAATCGAAACAATGTATAACTCTAGCTCTGAGATCCCGGCTGGCTGAAAGCTGATTTCTGGGGTTTTGTTTAGCTACTACATTTGCAACATAGTACATAGTTTCTTAGAGTTGTAGCTCAGAGGCCGTCAAGTCAGGCGGGGGTTGGAGTCCGCAGTCACTGCAGCAAGCAAACCTCATGTTCGCTTCCAGCTGCCTGACTGCCGGCCGCCATCTTGGCTGACAGTTAATTTGCATAAGGATATGCTGATTAGCCAATGGGAAGGGTAGCTCGTACACCAATTACCATGTTTCTCTTTTATTAGTGTAGATATATATATCAGGTCGTATGAAGAAGAAATCAGTTCTGGTTGTCCATTTTACATAGGACACTGACTCAGGCATGTTCAAAAGGATTGCTCCACCGTCTAGAAAGGTTTGGAACTATGCCAGGGGAAAATTTAAAGGAATAGGATATTTAGCCAAGAGAAGAGGAGACTAAGGAGAATTGCATATTTGTTTTTAAATTCAAGTCTGTAATTGAGGAAGTGTTACATTTGGGCTGTGAATAATAATCATAACAGCTAACAGTCAGTAGGACCTTCCTTATCTGGGCCAGGTACCGTTTCTACATGCTCTCTACGACCTGAGTACTTCCCATCGCACAGTAGTCTGTGGAGCAGGTGCCGCTATCTATTGTCTCCATATTCTAGTTGTAGAAACTGGAGCACATCTGGTTAGTAACCAGCCCAGGGTCCTGCACAATAAATAGATGATGAAATCTGAACCTGAACCTGAACCAGGCTTTTCATCTTCACTCATGCGTCTAGGAAACAGGCTGAGCCGGTGTGTAGATGGACTGTGAGGAGTATTTCTAGTGATTCTTTCCTAAGAACCACTCAAGTGGAGTTATTTGGCCCATGAGCAAGTAGGTTTCCCCACCTGAGTGTGGAAGTAGCAGTCAGAGTGTTGTGGAGGGATGTGCACCTTGAAGAGGACGTCCTATGCCAGGGTCAACAACGTTCACATTCTGGGCCTTTGCCTGACCAGACCTCAGCCCCTGTGCATGTCTGACAGATGCAGACATCGCTCATTCCGCCACCGACTCCCTACTTGCCCCCTTTCCAGGTGGACTGTCTTCTCTCCGGGCTTCCCACGACCTTCTCAGCTGCAGGTCAAGTGCACATGTGACCACTTTTCTGTTATCTAGTCTTCCTTTTCTCTAAAATATGAAAATCTGAAGTGGTCAAATCTTAAATGGTCATAGCATTTCCCACTGCAGGGGTATTGAGATGCCGATCCCCCAAGCTTCTCATATGGGCGCTGGTCCCTGGGGCGGTGAGCCAGTGCCCAGTGATGTGAAGCTGCATTCCTTTCCTGGAGGGTGGCATTCACATGATTATTTGTGGGAAAGCAAATAGTTTTACTATTGAGGTAGCATTCTTTTTAAAACAAACATAGACTTTCCTGTTTTGTAAAATGCAAAGTTCTCATGAATTTTTCAGATAAAGTAGGGCATTTCAAAGAAACTTCCAGCTTGCCCTCAGATCCCCCAGGGGGGTACCATTCATTTTCACCGCTGCTAGGGGTGCTTTGGTG